CCCTGTCCTCGCACACCTGGTTACTGTGCCTTGTGCACGGTGCCCTGTCCTCGCACACCTGGTTAGCGTGTTGTGCACAGTCCCCTGTCCTCGCCCACCTGGTTACTGTGCCTTGTGCACGGTACCCTGTCCTCGCACACCTGGTTAGTGTGTTGTGCACAGTCCCCTGTCCTTGCACACCTGGTTACTGTGCCTTGTGCACGGTGCCCTGTCCTCCTCGGGTCCCCAGTCTGCTAGCTGGTTTGGCTGTGCAGAGCTGGGGGCCCCTCTGAGTTTGCGGGTGCTGGGGAGTTTAAGTGAAACTAGGGTCCCAGAGAGGAGAGCGTGCACTGTTGTCTGCCCTCCTCCCCTCCCCCAGTCTTGGTAGCAGATCAGGCTGAGCCTGACTGGTCATCGCTGATCCCATACTTCATGAGAAGAGAGAGCGGTAAATGAAAAAGAACCCAGGAATCATTAATATCACTTTAAATGCTTGTGTGGTGCTCCATATTCATAATTAGATCTCCTTGGATAATGATGGGAAAGCAAAGAGCTGTTTTCAGAAAATATATAACAATAACAATCAAAGACACGGATCATTTAACTGTGTACTCTTTACTAGAAGGAAATGAATTGCCTGGGACTTGTAAAATAAGCTCTGCTCAACATTCCTGTCCTCTGCGTCCTCGTGGTCTGTCTCTGTCCCCGTCTCTCCTTCTGAGCCTCTGCCCTGTTTCTGTTGCAGATCCGAGTGGATGACATTCCCCCTCCGGCCCAGAATGCCCTGCTGTACGAGACGGTGCCCGTTGTGGAGGGCAGCCCCATTCTGCGCGACATGGTCTTCAGCCCCGACTATCAGTACATCTACCTGCTGAGCAACAAACAGGTACGGCAGCAATCATGAACGGGCTGTGGGGGGGAGGGACGAGTCTTGAGTCTTGAGCATTCGATTTCTGTACCTTTGTAGTCTGCTGTGGTTTCAGCATGATGTTCAAGGATGTTATTATCTTCTTCGTAATGATTCATGACAGTTTTACACAGAGACACAGGAAGTTATGTTCCAAGTGCACCAGGATTCTTAAAACAACAGAAGACAGGTTACAGGTGAGAGGAGACCCTCTGGCCTATCTGGCCAGTTTAGCATTGAATAGCTAAGAGATCTGAGGATCTCATCCAGCCGTTTTTTGGAAGAAGTCAGGTCATTGCCTTCCACAATATGGTTGGCTAACTTGTTCCATACTCCCACAACTCTTTGCATAAAGAGGTGCCTTCTGGTCTGGGTTTCAGAGTGCATTCAAGATTGAGAACAGGAGGCGCTTCCTTACCCCAAAGGGTAAACTTCCATAACTTCCTGCCCCTGTATAAAAATGGGACAATAACCCTTCTTTCCCAGCATTCATCACTTGGCACCCCTCTACTTCCCACTGCTTCCCACTGGGGGGAAGACTGCCTCGTTCTCCTGGGGCAGGCCTCCTCCCTCTGCCAGATGGCATCACGCCAGAGAGCACTGGGACCCCTTTGTGTCAGGTTGTGGGTTTCTGTCCAAGTGTCCTGAATCCAGGCTGGGAGAAGCGCACCGGAGAGCTTGGCCAGCTGCGCTCCTGCGTAGTGGAGTCTACCTTCACAGCAGCAGCGTGCAACAGTCCTGATCCTTCTTCATAGCGGACCCTGTCAGCAGCAGAGGCGTAGTAGATGGTAGGAATGGACAAGAGCCAACAAATCCAAGGAACTGCATTTGATTTGTCTCTCTCAGGGAACAACGTGCCTCAGTGGAATTATACTATAGGCAGCAAAAAAAAAACATCTACTTCCACCAGCAGGACCTGTGTGGGTCTGTTGTAGTCCACCAGCTGCACGGGACGTGCTCACTTCCTTTATCAAACCAGATGGGAAGCTTGCCGTGCCGAGAGGTGAAAAGCTTAACAATACACAATACGTTTAACACGACGTGAATCCATTAGCAAATCAACAAGTGAGCAGCGCTAAGAAATCCTCACCATTTAGACGGACAAATAAGGAAATTGGGTCATCGGCGTCCGAGACGGATACATAAGAGTCACACACGATGAAAATGTGTAAGATGTATGTTTAACTGTGCAGAGGGTAGTATTGAATCGTCTTCCAATGAGGAGCCTAATTTCAGCCCAGCATGGTGTCAGCCCCAGCTCCCAGTCTGAAGCTGGGGTCCCCCCCCCTCCCCGAGCCCTGAAAGATGGCCGTCTGTGTGGGAGCCCACTGGATGAGAGAGCTCCATGCTTCTGTCCTCTGGCTTTGCTGAACTGTAAAGTAGAGATCCGTGAATTATTAAAGGACAAGAAGGACAGGCTGGGGAGAGATGAGCCTAAATATTTCAGTGGCTGCAGGTGCAGGC